AGCCCAAGTACTTGACTTCTGTAGACAGTTTAAGTGGAATTTTAGCGAGAGTTGGCAGTCTAGGATTACCAATGTTGCGCTTGCGTGTAAAAAGAACCATCTGTCTTTTTGGGATTGACGGAAAGGCATTGTTTATTACACCAGTTCTCAATTAGATTGAGTGCTTCCTGCATCTTGTCGAGGAGTGCATTAGCGTACTTGCCTCTTATGAGGATTGTCAGGTCATCTGCGTAGTCAGCCTCTAGTAACAGCCCCTTGAAAAGTGGCCTGGCCAGCCCTTAATTTGACGACCCTATGTCTTAGAGTGCTCTCAATCCAGCCGCACAGGGCCAGAGGAACGTTATGCTCTAGCAAGGCGTCGTTAATTCCGGAGAAGGTAGTTTTATCAAAAGCTCCTTCCACGTCAATAAAAACCCCGAGGGCGGACTCCTTGTGGTCCAGCGCACCACCGACGAAACTGATCACTGAGTGAAGAGCCGTCAGCGTGGACTTTCCCTGGGTGTAAGCATGTTGATTAAAGTCTAGTGGCCTGCTGCGCAGACAAGAGTCTCTAATGTAACGGTCGCAAAGCCTCTCCAACGTTTTCAGTAGAAAGGAGGAGAGGCTAATTGGTCTATAGGACTTCGGAAGGAAGTAATCTTGCTTACCCGGTTTAGGTATAAAGTTGACCGTGACTTCACGCCAACTTCCCGGTACATAGCGAAATGCCAGACATCCCTGGAAAATACTCTTCAGGTGTGGTAGCAGGTCATCCAGTCCCCATTGTAAGAGGGCCGGTGTAATCCCGTCCGGTCCTGGAGTTTTGAACGGCGAGAACGTATGCATAGCCCACCGTATTTTCTCCTCTTCGCAGACGACTTTGGCCAAGAGCCATTCATCCGCAGTTGGTACATGAATTATCTCTTGTCGGACATCGTTAAAGTTGTCCGAACCTGAAAAATGAACAGTCATTAAAAGCTGTAAACTGTCTTGAAGGTTGTCGGTATAAGAACCGTCTTCCTTCTTTAGTATACCAATACGTTGAACAGGGCTCGAAGCAAGCACCTCTTTTAGGCGGGAGACCTCTGTAGAGGAAGTAATTTCCTCACAGAAGTTCTTCCATGCTTCTCGCTTTTTTCGACGAATGTTTTTTTTTAAATCTGACAGTGTTCTCTTATAGAGGTACCAGTCAGAGTCGATCCTGGAGTCCTTTGCTTTGTTGAAAGCAGTCCGCACCTCTCGTTTTAGTGAGCCAAGCTCGAGGCACCACCAGATGGTAGCGCGCCCAGTTACCGCCTCCCTACGGAGGGGACAAGCCTTTTTATATGCAAGGATCAAGGAATTGTGTAGAGACTTAGAATAGTTCTCTAGCTCGCAGCTGTCCACTGGTTTTCGTCGACCGAGTCTAGTCAATGACCCAGATAGTGTAGACCTGAACTTATCCACGTCCGTCCTTCTAGGATTGCGACTCAGTTTGTTTTCGATCTTAGAGCTTCCAAGATCAAAAGTAATCCACCTGTGGTCCGACATTGACACAACGTCGGAAACCCTCCAGTTGTGGATTGATTGTGAGATACTCAAGGAGGCAAGAGTGATATCAATTACTGACTGACCTTTCGCAGTTACAAAGGTCGGTTCAGTGCCTTGGTTTAGTATGTCTAAATTACTGCAATAAATAAAGTCTAAGAGGGCCTTACCTCTAGGGTTGTCATTAGCACTACCCCAAGCCGTTGAATGAGCGTTAGAATCACAGCCGATGACAAGATTCCATTTACCTACCCTAGCGGCTTCAATCAGTCGCACCAATCCTTCGGATGGTGGCAGGTCCTCAATGGGGAGATAAACGGATGCCAGCAGAATGTCTGTTTCCTTTCGGTTAACAGTAGAACGTATCCTAACGGTCGTCGCGTCTGAGTCCGTGAATTGGGGCAATACATAGCTCCGCACATGTTTAGGTACGTAAATGGCGGTTCGAATCTTCCCTTCCCTGGGGCAGCTGAAAATAGAACCGCTTAAACCACTGAGTCCGCAGACCCTGGATTTATTAACCCAGGGTTCTTGGATCAGTGCGATAACATTACTCATCATATCGAGGTGACGACAAAGGGTGGCAGTTGCAGCCCTGCTATGATGCAGGTTGCACTGAACCACCGTCAGATCGTCCCCCTCCTCTGGTACATCACCTCTGCGTTGTTTCATCATTTTGGCGTCGAGGTGTCGATATCAGCAAACATGACGGCAGGTGGCGAATCCAAAATGGACTCATCAGCCACCTCAGAGAGGACTGGAGAGCCTGGCGTTGAAGGTGCCAAGTTGACGATTGTGACGTCGTCTTCCTTGGCGGACGGTGCCTCAGCGACATCCATTTCCTCCTCCGCTTTGTGGGTCCCAGTTGTAACTGGGTCTTCAGCTACCGGGTCCTTGAGTCTACTGACTTTGGCCGTGAGCGTGTTAAACAGGTAGCATATTCTACCTTTGTTTTCCCTCAACCAGTAGGCGTCCTTTTGACCAACTCTGAAGACGAGGAGTCGACCTTCACGGTCCTCTCTCACCTCGAAACGGAAAAGGCACCAATTACGGATGTCAAGGTGCTTATTTTGTCCAATCAGGATAGCTAGGGTACGTTCTTTAGCCTTGACTTCGACTCCCTTGTCCGGGATCCAGAGCTGGACTCTGGATAAGGCCGGAAGTTCGGAGTCTTTAACCACGCTCAACCTTACCCCTTCAAGGGGTGGGAGCGAGTTAACCTCCGCCTTTAACCACTCCAACGAATGATCATTATTACAGGCGATCTTTAGGACCTGACCTGTATAAGTCATCGCGGAAAAGGTCGGCGTCGGTGCCTCCTCTTCAGGTTTATCAATGTTGGTGCAGATCAAGGTTTATATATAAGAGGTTGTCTAGATTCGTACGCAACCATACTGCGCATTACGTCACATGTGGAAAATAATACCGCCAAGCAATTCAAATTAAACAAATGCACGGAGCACCACATGGCCATGAGGTTGCGTGCGCAATCCGTGATCGCTTACGTCACGAAACACTCCTGCTCTTGCCCCTCGCCCACAAACTAAATCAAAGTATTGCAGCATAGGTACTTAGACAACCTTTAATATATAAACCTTGGGTGCAGATGTCTCGAGCGAGCGCCTGCACCAAATTGTTTTTTATGATATCAGCTTCCTCCTCGGTAAGTTTACCGAGTTGGTTGAGGCCGTTGATAATCGCGACTTTAAGGTGCCTTAGAAGTGCATCCTTATAGTCGGTCGTCTTGCGAGCCGTTTTCCCCTGGGGCCGGTCCTGCCTCGGCCTCTTCGTCACCTTCATAGAAGGTTCAGAAGAGTTGGCGGATCTCAGCCTTTTGGGACCCGCACCAGCCTCACCCCGGGTTCGGGCGTCGACCTGTCCCCTCGACTGCGGCGGCCGCGCCCTTGAGTCTCCCTGTCCGCTTGGATTGTGGCGGTTGAACTCTTTTCGGGACAGCCACGCCGCTAGTCGATTGCGGCGGTCGCGCTCTCGATCCGTCGTGGGTTTTCGGCCGCTTTCGCGTCCCGACCCGCTGTGGGTGGGGGCCGTGCCGGCCTCCTCTTCCCTAGCGATCCTCCGACCCGTTGTCTCTGCGCCGCGAGACCGATGGCGCTGACAGCGATGGCGGCGGTTACGACGGCGGACCTCGGTGAAGTCCTGCGCGTCGTCCGACCTTGCCGGCGGCCGCGGCTCATCGGCCCCTGCGGGCGCACCGCTAGCAAGTGGGATGGGATTTATGCTCTTAGAAGAGCTCATCGTGTCCAATTGGGTATTTAACCTTTATATAAAAAAAAAGAAACTGGGGTCAGCTTGACGAAATGTCAAGCGACACACGCGGTTAAATTTTTAGGTTATGTCACTTGGTAGTTAGAAAAAGCAACGTGCCAAGCGAAGAAAAACAAACTAGACAGAAATTGTGTCTAGTAGCACCCGCGACAACACGGTAATCACATGCACCGCCACAAAAACACGCCAAATCACCTCGCACTCGAGTAATTTGTGCGGAGTAACGTGCGCACGTCTGAGTCGTACCGAGTCGCAACTCGGAGTCAACCGATCTCGGTATTGTACCTTCTGGTTGAATGAACAGATTCATTTTCCCTCTTGCGACGACCTGCTGCTCGTTTGTTGAGTCCTAGCTTTCTTCGCCTTGATAAAGGCATAATTGTACTTGTTTTAAAACAAATAACACGATGCAATAACAATAAAAAAATATAAAACAGCGATAGAAAATAATAAACTACAATGAGACAGGAGTACCCAAATCGTTCTTGTATAACCACAGGAATAACTCGCTATTTAGTATAACATGTGTTTGTGATCGGCACGTCATCTCCGTCGCGGCGCCGAACACCGGGCGCAGCGACTAATATCGCGCCTTCAAATTATTCGCATTTTCAAATAAATTGAGATAGTCAGTTATGCATCCAACATTACATAAAATTAAAAATGAACTGATTTCCGCCTCATCCATTGAATAGGCAATCTCCATACAAGTAACGAATTTTGACAGCTAAAGTCCATCCATATATATGTCGTAGGCATATTGTGAAATCCGGCTTATTACAATAAGCGCCGTCATTTTGCAATGTGCCCGGCAAATTGGAAAATTATCTCACATTTTGTAAACAGCCTGAAATTTTTTAGGCTTATTACAATAATTGAATTATTACAATAAGCCCACGAACCATCAGTCCAATTGGAAAGTGGACAACTGTTTCTTTAAAAAGCCTGGTTTTATTGAGGCTTTTTGCAATTTGCCTTACAGTCGACGGCGTATTAAGAATAAGCTAGGGTGGGGTTGTTGTCATTAACGCATTATACTTGTTGAAACGTGTGCGCCGCAGTAGCATCGCATATTGTTCTTGGTTTTCTTATAGGTTAGTTTAACTATTGTTGCAGTGCAGTCAAGGACAAACAACTAATAAGGTAAACAAAAGTAGAAGAGCGTGAAATGTAGGTAGAAATGTAGAAAGTTCCAGGACGAAAATAACATGAGAATAAACTTTAATGCGCAAATGAAAGAATACTGCAATAAGAGTGAAAATGTCGTAAAGAAGCCTTGGACAAAAGCAACTGTGGAAGAAGCAATTCGAGAAATTTTGGATGCAAATAACCCTGAAAAAAAGAAGACTAGTAGACAATATGGATTAACCAGAAAATACGACACAATGGAGATTGGCGAAACAAGAGTTTTAATCAAAAAAAGAAGAAGTAATGAGGATCCTGTAGTAGTAATGATTCCGGTTGAAGAATACTTTGACAGACTTCTTCAATGTCACCGTGCCACTGGACATGGAGGAAGATATAAAATGCTGTTTGAATTAAAAAATAAATTTTACATTCCCAGACCAGCAGTTGAAATGTTTGTATCGCTTTGTAAAATGTGTAATACGAAGAAATCTCAACAACAACGAAATATTGTGGTAAGACCAATCACAACACAAGATTTTAACCTTCGCAGTCAAGTTGATTTGATCGACTTTCAATCAACTCCATGTTGAGGATATAAATGGTTAATGAATTATCAAGATCATGCAACTAAATTTTGTCTTCTGCGACCTTTAACAACAAAGCGTGCTGCTGAAGTTGTAATGGAACTGCTGAAGATATTTTTGGATTTCGGCGCAACGCACATTCTACAAAGCGACAACGGACGTGAATTTACAGCTGATGTGGTTAAAGAACTTTCTGGTATGTGAGCTGATTGTAAACTTGTACATGGAAGACCTCGACATCCGCAATAAGAGGGAAGCGTAGAGCGCTGCAACCAGGATGTTGAAAATATGTTACGTTCGTGGATGGATGACAATAAGAGTACAGATTGGGTGATAGGATGCCGCTTCGTTCAGTGGCAAAAAAACTCGTCAAAGCACAGGATCATAGGGCGCAGTCCATATACAGCCCTTTTTGGAACGGAACCAAAGATAGGACTAAATTCAACTAACATTCCACAGGCAATTCTTGAAAAAGTTTTTAGTGAAGAAGATTTGGAAAAGTTAAGAAATGACGAATATAAGGGAAAAGTTGGAGAAAATCAAGATGAAAACCAATTCTCTAATGTTCAACAAGAGTTGTGTTTTATTTGTTCGGGATATTTGAATGAAACACCTTTTGTTTCATGCTCTTCATGTTCCATGAAGATTCATAAAACTTGTCTCCAAAACGTTTGCTCAATCTCCGATGAAAATGATATGGAGTATCAATGCGATATTTGTAATAGACAAGAAAATATATCTTCACAACGTCAAAAAGCACACGAAGGTCAAAAACAAGTGGCAGAAAAAATTATTGAAAATACCGGGAAGAACCTAAAATCGGTCACAGTTGGAAATTTTGTTCTATTAAATGTGCCGAAAATCGACCGTGGACGCCTTTAGACGCACTAAATTTAATTGGAAAAATTCTTAAAATTAATAATGATGTTTATCAGATAGGAACAAAGAGTGGAATTATCAAAACATGGTTTTCTAAAAGTGACTTCCAAATTTCTGGCGCACAATTTGTTGAAGATATCCCCGAAGAATATATATCTGTTCGTCAAGCTGTAGCAAATGAGTCAATGTTTGGAGGTCAAGGCTATAATACCTGTAAGTGTACAGTGTCAAAAACCCAATGCCAAACAAAAAGGTGCGTGTTCAGGAAAGCAAAGCAAATGTGTTCATCAAAATGCCATAAGAGTTTACCATGTGGAAATAAGTGAAAATAAAATTAGTGTTAATTAATAAAACACAAGTTTAAAAAAGTTTTTATTAATTTAATTTTCTTTATATTATTATAGTATTATATGTTCTATTTTAACATTGATCTGAATGATCTGTTTAGTTAATAATATGTGATAAATGTTTATCAATAAAAACTTGTTCATCAAAAATTATCATTTTTCAACTTTCTTGCATAAAATAACCTATAATTAGTTCAAATACTTCAAGAATACTTTAAGGTCAGGTAATTTTCTCGGTGTAATTTTAGTGAACTTATATTAGCCTAGGTTTATTGCAATAAGACTAGAAACCACCAGGCTTTTTGATGAAACTGGTGCTCACTTTCTAATTAGCCTAACTATATGTGCGCTTATTATAATAAGCCTAAGAAATTTTAGGCCGATTAAAAAATGTGAGATAATTTTCCAATTTGCCAGGCACATCGCAAAATGACGGCGCTTATTGTAATAAGCCGGATTTTGTAATTTGCCTACGACATATATACTATCTCCTATATCACTGACTCCCTATTTAAGCAATGAGAGGAGAGCGTTTCCATCAAAGGCAGACGGAATGATATATTGTCTGTCTTTGTCATGCCCCCATGTCGCGAAAGCGCTTGCGCGAATCGTAAATTTTAAAGAGTTTACTTAAAGATTTTCAGAAATAGGACTTTAGTCTTTGTTGTTCGCAGTGGGACAGGAAGGTTTTTAGGTTTTATATCACACACTTTGACCGTTCGTACTTGATAGCGGTTTTATTATTACAACTAACATCTACTTCTGATGCCGAGAATGAACGTGACTATATGTAAACTAAAACTTGACAAAATCGATAATTTTTACGTTCACCCTTATTGCCAACCATTCAATGTTGCCAATTGTCTTTAGCGTTCGTGCAACCTTGGTTGCCTAACGTGTATTTTTATTTAATTGATTTACAACATCCGCCAATAAATAGAAATACAATAATTGTAGGAGAAAAAAGAATTAACATTGATTGTTTTTATATGAAACAGATTTCATGAATTGTTCTTTAAAATATTCGAATTTGACTCTTTCGAGCGGTTTGGTGAATATGTTACTTATGTTATTTTCGGTATTACAAAATTTCAGAGTGATGTTCTTTTCGTTTACAATGTCTTTTATATAATGAAATCTAACGTCTATATGTTTGCTTCGCTGGCTTATTACGCCGCTTTTTGCTAAACTTATTGCGCTTCTGTTGTCCATATGTAGTGTTGCCTCCAGTTCTGTTCCCGTTATCTCTTCCAACAACCCTTTTAGGTACATTGTTTCCTTGTAGCATTCGGCTGCCGCTATGTATTCCGCCTCTGTTGTGGACAGTGCAACTATTGGCTGTTTTTTTGCGCTCCAGCTGATAGGTCCTCCATTAAACGTTGTAATGTAGCCAGAAGTGCTTTTACGCGTTTCTGAACAGTTTGCATAGTCCGCATCACTGTATGCACTCAGTTTTAGGTTTTTTATGTCCGTGTTTATTTTATATTTAATTCCGTCGGTTTTGTTAGTGTTTAGATATTTAAAAATTCTCATTACGTTATTTACGTCGCTGTTTGTTACCTCACTTACGTATCTGCTTATGAAATTTACCGCGAAACTGATGTCCGGTCGCGTCTTATTCGCTAGATAGAGTAAGCTGCCGATAGCTTCTTGATACGGATAGCTTTTGACTTTAGTTTTATCACTTCTTTTGAAATCACTTTGGTTTAGCGGTATATATGTATGTCTGTTTTGATTCACTCATTTTGAATTTATTTAATATTTTTTCTATTAGTCCAGTTTGATGTAAATTTATTTCATCGTTCACCACTTTTAAATTTACACCGAGAAAACTGTTGGGATTTTCCCATGATTTTTTTATGAAGTTTTCGTTTAATTTTTTTATGAGGTTTTTTATTTGTTTTTTGATATTATTAGTCCGTCGTCTACGTAGATTGCGACGATTATCGTTCCGTCCGCGTTCTTGAATATGCATTGTTCTGATTTCAATTGTTCTAGTCCCATCTTATTCAGTGTTTTCGTGAATGTTACGTTCCATTTCATTGGTGCCTGTCTCAGCCCGTACAGAGCTTTTTTATGTTTACATACTTTCCCTTCACCCTCTTCGTAGCCTTGTGGTATTCTCATGTAGGTTTCTTCATCCAATGTTCCATAAAGAAAAGCTGTCTTTATGTCGAATTTCGTTATGTGGCTTGACTAAGCTGGTGCTAGTGCAAGTAATGTTCTAGTGGCACTTGAGCTTATTACAGGGCTAAATACTTCGTCTATAAAGTCGTTTAGTTCTTGTTCGAAACCTCTCACTACCAATCTAGCCTTGTATGTTCCGTCCTCTTTTATTTTAAACGTCCATCTGTTTGTTAGTATTTTTTGATCGTCTTTTATTTCCTTTTCGTCTACTAGTTCCCATACTTCGTTCTGATCTAAGGAATGTTTCTCTTCTTGTATTGCCTTCTTCCATTCCTCTCGGTCTTCGTCTTTCAGCGTTTCTTCGTAATTTAGATACGCGTAATCTCTTAGTTTTGTTGGTGGACGTCTTGATCTTTGTGGTCTTCCGTTTGTTTTCTTTTCTTCTTCCTTAGGCTCCTCTGCCTCCGTTTCAGTGGTTTCAACGTTTTCGTTATTATTTTCTTCCTCTTCTCTGATCTTTTCTTCCTCCTTTCTGTTAATTTTGTCTTTATCCTTCTCTTCATCTGATGTGTCCTCTATTAGGATTTTTACTTTTTTTTATTGTCGAAGATTGCATCTCTCGATATTATTATCTTTCGTTTTCCTTCGTCAAAGAATCTGAGTCCGTTATTTGAGTATCCCACAAATACCATTCTCTGGCTTCTCTCGTCCAGTTTCTTTAGGTGTCCGAGTGTTTTTACGTGTGCGTGTGTTCCAAAAATTTGTAGATGTTTTATGTTGGGTTTTAACTCGTTCCATAACTCAAATGGCGTTTTTCCTGTCGTTGTTGTAGGTGTTCTATTCACTAGGTATGCGCTAACTCGAACGGCTTCGCCCCAAAAATTCTTTTCTAGTTTTGAGTCGTAAATTAATGCTCTAGCCTTCTCCATAATAGTTCTGTTTAGTCGTTCGGCTTTCCCATTTAATTGTGTATACAATTATTGGGAAATTTTTGTTGTGTAATTTGTAATTCGTTGTATAATTAGTATACAGTGTGTCCCCGGATTGTGTCTGGAAAGTCTGGATGTAATAAAACGAAATATAACCAAGTTTTACGTCAAACGTCCTCAAAGTACCAAAGTTAACGCAAGAAGTTTGTTGACCGTTGCAAGTAAAGTGGTCTTTCTGAGCAATGTACAACAAAAGTTGATTAAGATAAAATGTTTGTTATGTTAAATTATAGCGATATGCCGAATTTTATTAATTTAGCATATAAAAGAAAAAATGAGTTTTTTCATGAAAATTTTTTTCTAATATTCCGTTTTACAATAAAAACAAATCATCTGAGGAACTAGCAATTATCATTTGATACCTTAGCTTTAGCCTATTGTGAAATATTAATTGATCATGTTTACATTACAACATAAAATATTTATAGTGCAGTGCTATGGATTGGGGAACATTAGTTACAATGCAGTTTTAAGGCAATTTGAGAACAAATTTGGATTTTTAGTAGATAAAAAAACAATTAAGAGAGTTGTTAAAAAATTTTCGGAAACGGGCAATGTGGACAATTAACGGAAGGAAAAAAAGCTTTTAGATGAACATGATGCGGGGTCGATTGTTGCAGTAACGAACGCAATGGATTACGGTAAGGTGTCGTTAAGAAAAAGG